ATACGCTGGATAGCGAGCTCGATGAGTCATGGCTCCCGCCTGCAATACACCCACGCTCACTCTCACACCATAGCTCCACTCATTGGCTCACCATGGCTTAACTATGCCGAAGTGAGAGGATTCGTGCATGAATGTACCATGTCCGCTTAGTAGGTCAGATCACGATCGATAGGACAGGTTTTTATTTCCGTTCGTCACTTGATGACGCAGTAGGTGAGGGCAGCATCAGAGCGCCGCGCTGGTGCAGGATACAGTGTACTAACGGAGGGCCGCCATGACTAAGGTTGCAATGGTGGCCTTTTCTGCGGTCTACCCGACGTACTGTTTGGTGTCAAAGGCTTGGGTATAGGATCCTAGAGCCCGAAAGAGCCGGAAATATGTACGTATATTTACCCAGGTACCCGTAGGGTGATCTTTGATCCGCGATAACGCAGATGTACGTGGGCTGGCACACCGGGACATTCCACATTATTTTTGTGTACAGAATCGGTCACAAAGCAATTAGGATATCATCAGGTTTCACATTTCAGACATACCAACAACTTAAACGGGTCTTGAAAGCCCCGGAAATCGATTAAGATTTAAGATATTAGACTGAGTTGATCGGCACGGTTCAATCGGTATATTCTCAGCTGTGTAGATTATGGATTGCAACTGACTTACCTTCAATCCGAGTGCGGAAGGCGTGAGTGGCTTGGTTACAAGGTGTGATAAGATACGATAACCATTGTTCTTAATTCATCATCGTTGGTTTGGATTGAGAAGCGCTGGGACTTCTTAAATCATGAAAATATGCTGTTTCAACAGCCAAAGGCTGTTTTCAGCATATCAATGACTATAAATCCATAGGTCTTTCTGAAGAATCCATACTGTTACCTGTAGGGTTAAGGACCATTAGTTTTTCCACAAACCACTGGAAATTCTCTCCAACAGGTGACGATAATGAGATAATTATAGTCAAGAGTTTTCCGAGGATTCGTTCGCTATTTCACTTTCTCGGTCACCACCAGTAAGGGGCTGCTGGTTAATCACACGACACGTGTCACTTTGTTTCCCATTCTCTTCTGTCTTCAGTGCCTTCGGTGGAAAAACTTTCCATGATTGGAGAAAAGGGAACGGGATCACGCGTTTCTACCGCCTCATGGTTTATCCTATCCAACGTGGCATGTTTCCTGGGTCATTTACCTATGTGGACCTAGCGTGCTAGACCTCCAACTGGGGATTATCTGTCGTAGTGTTAACATTATTTTTACCCAGGTTATCCCAGCCATTTTTTCGCGTTCTCATACACCTTCTACATCTGATTTGTCTATCATAACATCCCTCATTTGTAATTCCTCTAATATGGCGTTGCAGACTGTTATTCAGCGTCAACACAGTGGTGGAACTCACCGACAGCCATTATTCAGTTTACGAGTGTAGACCAAACTGTACCCACATGTAAACACGTTCGGTTTTGAACTCTTGTTCTATCTGTTTTGGGGCAGACAGTTACAACTCAGAGTAATAAAACGTGGAACAGAAAAGTTCTCTTCCCCGTGGATTGAATGAATCCCATATCAGTCTAATCCCATCTTCGAAGTGCACCGTTCGTGTTCCGTTCAAGTTACTGTTAGAACGTGTTCTTCGTGGCTTGATGACCACTACAGTGGCCCACTATTGCGAGGTCTCAGGGTGGTGGCACGTGACTACTCCAAAGTTAATGTTCGGGAACTCATCAATGATGTAAGCTCAGCGACAAAATTACACGACTGTGTATTAAGACACAACTTTCCGTATTATGATCGCTGGAACTTTTGAAAGTGTTGAAATGAACAAACAGATCAACCTGTCCGATTTTAGCCTTCACGAATTTTAAAGCGACGCACAAACCAGAAATGAGGGCAACGTCAGATTAAATGCCTTATTGGTCGGTCCAGCAGTCGCTACACTAAATGGATATCTCAGTGGGAAATAATCGGAACAGTGCCGCACCTTAAGTGGACGCAATAAATGACGCATTTTAGCGGTCTCTCGGTAAGTTCTTCAGCAACAAAACGCGTACGGAGGTACAGTGGTCGCAGCGTTCACCGAAGACAAGGATGGTGGGAGAATGAGAGGGGAGGGAACCATTGTGGCGCCAAGTGTACATCTTAGAGTAGGGTGCCTTGTTATAGTGCGACTCATGTGTAACAGGGAAAGATGACTTCTCATTGAGGAAACTACTCACAAGGTTACTGAAAACTCTTCGATAGCCCATGACCGGTTTCGCCCTTCTTGGGGCTCATCAGGTAGGCACAGTCCCCGAGTTTCCGTCGACCTAATGATCTACTTGAACCCAAATTACACTGTTTTCAAGAAATACTCATTCGCAAATCAATTCGGTCTTCAAGAGAGACTCAACTGAATCTCTTGTTTATGATATTCTACGACTGAAAGTGCTGCACAAAGGCCGCATCATAATTCAGTACGATATTCGAGATATCGCAGTGTATTTTCATAAAGGAAACTACTCACAAGGTAGCTGAAAACTCTTCGACAGCCCAAGACCGGTTGGGACTCACCAGGTAGGCGCAGTCCCCGAGTTTCCGTCAACCTTATGTTCTACTTGTACCCGAATCGGACAGTTTTCGAGAAATACACTCATTTGAAAACCATTCCTTTGCAACAGGACTTTGCCGCCTGCAAGTTGCAATTGACAGCGTGAATAAAGAATTGGGTATGATAAACGACAGGAAAATAATCGTTCAGCCGGGGCGCCTTCGGTTGTGTGGCTGTCACACAACTCGAAGGAAGTGTGGAAATGGTGGTGCCTCAGGACTAACAAGAATGTAAGATGCGCACGCGCGTGTCCTATTGACAGATTTCATAGAAGGGCGTTGGGAAGGTTTGTCGGAAATGCACCCGACCAGTTTGTTTGGGATTAGCAATGAGGCCGTAGGATTGCAGGAGCTTATTCCACCTTCGAGGGATCGTACACAGCTTTCGCTAGGTCGTCAATCTGCACTAGTGTGTGCTCAGTTGAAGTTCCGCTAGGAAAGTCAAATTGGTGTGTCGTTAATTACTTTCTTCGATAACACTACTAAAAGCACGTGAGAACCGATACGTTTAAATGGAGGCCGTACCTGGGAAGTTGGACCACTAATGTTGAAAGTACACTGATAATTACCGTTCTGAATGAATCCGATCAAAGTGGATTTAGGTTCCAGATAGCTACTTACAAGAAGAATAAGTAAGTGTATACAATACTCTACTATCTGCACGATAGCAGTAAAAGACATGAACCTGAACCAGGTTTTGATTTTCGTAAATGGCACGTTTCATTCCCGTCTGCTTGCATTGTGGGTGGTCACCACAGGTTCACACATTGCAACGTTAGCCTTGGAGCCTGCCTTCGCTCATCCATCCTGTTGTTTGCAGCAAGTAAGTTGACCCGACTGATGGCACCACGCGACGGCCGACATGGCATGAGGTCGTTTGTAGATGTGGAATTCATGGTTCTACGTGAGCTGGGACACTAAAGAACGCTCACATAGAGGGGATAATTACGGCTTTCAACCAAGGTCTAACCTCAGCGGCGGCTGGTATAGAACCGTCAGTGCAACTTATGTTTTCAAAAAGAAAGTCGCCGCACGCGTTGTAATCTCCAACCTGGAGACTGTGTTGATCACACCCATAACGACTGACCAACTGATGTGAGAGGATCTGTGAGTGTCACATGTGAACTCCCCAGTGTAGCTCAGTGGGTTGTGTAGGTCTGCAAACCGTCACATCGTGGTGAGTTTCAGTCTTTTTGTGACGGATTAGCCTGGGAGTGCACTGCAACATCCACTTTGTCCAACATGGAATCACGTCTGACGTAGGAGCATATTTTCCGCTCTTGCGGGCAACTCACGCATGCGTTTCGGTATTCGCAATATGATGAGGCTCACTACGAAAATTAGGGTAACTGAACGAACCGTAAAAGTTCTTATCAACTAGGGTACTGACACGACTGCTCGTGAAGTCGGAAAATCGATACACGCACCGATTATTGTCCAATCCTTACCCTGTGAAACAAATGCCTGATGCATGAGGTGAGGCCAGCCTTCAAACGTCGGTTCATGTGTCGCATGGCGGGGGGATGCCCGTACAACGGGATAGGATGTTCTGTGAAAGCCAACAGGCCCCGATAGTGTGTAATTCGCTTTAAAGTCCTCGCAGACAGGTTGGGTTGGGACAGGCACCATTGGTTTTGAGCACTTCTAACAATCATCCAAAGTGACAACGCACAGCTCGGATCAGTATTGTCAAGCGTGAAGTGGGACTTAGCAAAACACACTCATTTGCAAACTAATTTGGTTTTGCGAGATTCATCTGGAACCCAGCCTGATCTCTCGTTTGTGATGTTTCCAGGCAACTGAGTGTGCTGGCCGCCTCGTGTTTCAGTCGCTACGATATTCCAGATATCGCGATACATGTATATTCGTAATACACTACTCATAAGGTTGCTGAAAATTTGTAGACAGCCCACGACCGGTTTCGCCCTTTTTGGGGCTCATCGGGTAGGCGCAGTCCCCGAGTTTCCGTATGCTCTACTTGAAACAAAATTGTACGAAATACACTCATTTGCAAACAAATTTGGTTTTGCAAGAGACTCACCTGGAATTCAGCTGAATCTCTCGTTTATGATGTCCCACCTCTATGCCCCAAGAAGGGCGATGAAATTACAGCAACCTCATGAGTAATGCATTAAGAAGTGGGACATTTATACATTCGGACCGGGACTGGATCTGCAAAAGTGCAGAACAGTCCGTCGCATTGAAACTAACCCCTCCTTCTGCAGAATGTGGACACAATTGGCAAACATAGCAACTGCTTTCGAATGAGGTGCCTCCTAGGTCTCTGGTGGGACGTGCATTGGTGAACGACAATCCCCGAAATCGGAAATTTATTTATGTATTTGCTGTTCCTACAGTGATTTACTGAATCGATCAATGTGTGCAACCTGAAAAGACGATCCTTCTAGAAGTTCGAGCGGCAGTGAAACGGGCAAATATTGATATTTCTAACATAGGAAATATTTGTTCCCCTAGAACTGGTCACAACCGCGCTCAATCTGACCACCCCACTCCACTCACGGGGTGAAGTAAACTAAGAGGCGTGGGATCCGTATACGAGCAGGTATTACACTATCACCAGGTTCGACACAGTCAAATAGAGGAGCTGCCCAAAAACAAGGCGCGCCAAAGGGGTGGGGAGAGATTATAAACAAACAGCGACACACGAAAAAGCTCCGTAACCAGCTGTACAAACAAGCCAGAAAAAGGAGGTGAAACACACGGCCAGGGAGGGGGGAGGGTGGCATGGACAATCACCGGTGGATCTTCATTTCTTTGCAGCCCCGGTGGAGGCCGTCAGGCGTGCTGCCACTTGGGCTCTAAGCACTCGATTACCGGCAAGGAATGTGGGAATACCGAGCAGGACCAAATATCCTAGCGTGGTGAACATGGTCAGCCGACACCAGTAGATGTAATACAAGGTGAAAATAGCTAGGAAGAGAAGAAACAAGAAACGGACAGTATGGATTAGGGGAACTCACACGGTTTATTTCGATAAGGTACTACAGTCTACTGTCCAACTAAGACAGTCTGCCTAACTGGTTCTCGCAGCGAATGGTAGTCATAACGAACTGGCGAATGGTGCGACTATCGTCTTCCACCTTTATTCAGATCAGCGACGAACCGCAGGAGGTAGGCTGTTATTGACAATGCGAGCCAACAAACCAACCAACCTAAGGGAAATTTACCTGTAGTCTCGCTTAACTACTGTTTAGAGAGGACGATCGAAAAGCTGCCTGTGCATCTAATGCGGACCGTTATGGTAAACAAGATTCTCCGCATGGTCAGCCCCGCAATGTTGACAATGATGCTTTACTGCCGTACACACAAAGTTCATCTGACTATATATGTAGCCTTGGAATGATAGACACCTTTCCAGGGCTTGCGAAGGTCCGACAACCATCATGTGCATTTGACCTCTTTTTGCTGAATTGCGCCGACCCAACATCGGCAGTCGGTGAGTTGAACTCAACATTCAGTTCCACTGTTGACAACACTCCCCGATCTGTTGTTGTCATTAAGATGCCAGTACCAACCAAAAAGTGAATACAAACTTGTCCTGGCTTAGTGAATAGTATTCACCTGTGAATGTCGCATCAGCCGAGCTTCTGGTACTTGGTAAAAACAAGCGGAAAGAGAGCGTAAGATCCAGGTGTACCCATCTGTGTACTTTCATTGCTAAGCGAGCAGTATGGGGGATCACCGATGATAGATCGCTGAAGCGTTACAATCATAAGGAGAGGATTTACTGGGGAACATCGCCGCAAATGACGGCCGTATGGTAAAGACGGAGACAAGGATATCTATAAGAATAAAATGCGGTCGGCAAAAACGAAGTGGATCAACCCGAGCGGAATTCATCACATGAAAGAATATCAAAAAACGGTCGACAAGGCTTGCTTGACTGTACAATGAAGCAACCAACTGTGCACAAGTGCTTCAAACCTATCACTTACAGCCGAGAATATAGAACAAATTTCATAAAGGAAACTACTCACAAGGTTGCTGAAAACTCTTCAACAGCTTACAATCGGTTTCGCCCTTCTTGGGGCTCATCAGGTAGGCACATTCCCCGAGTTTCCGTCAACCTTATGATCCACTTGAACCAAAATGGACTGTTTTCGAGAAATACACTCATTTGCAAGTCAATTTGGTTTCCACGGGAAACTCATTTGAATCTCTCGTTTACGATGTCTTCCAACTGAATGTGCTGCACACAGGCCGCTTCATGACTCAGTTGGCACGATATTCGAGAACAAATTTCCCACATGACAAACATGACAAAACACCCCATGGGTGTTTGTTTTAAAGGAAGAGCCCCCTGGTTGTGTGTTTCAGCCAAAACGATGGGCTTGATTGCAATTTGAGGATGTGATACGCACGTCAGATCGCGTGGCGAGGTGCGGAAGCAAAACTGTATTTTACAAAGCTGTTGTCACAACAGCCAGTCGTGGACCTGCTCACACGTATTTGGAAACGTATGACAGAAGGAGAATCAAATAAACATTTTGAAAACTGTGACACGGTCAACCTCGATCCGGGACACTTACCTATAAGACCACCATGGAAAATGAGGTTGGATAGTCCGAAGTGGAAGTTGCGTAGGTTGAAGCCCAGGATCATCCACTGAAATAGAAAAGGTATACGAACCATTTTAGAACAATTATGGTTCAAATGGGATTAAACTGGTTGGAGGAATTGTCCCCAGGAGGGGATACTTCCCATGGTGTAGATTGTGCAAAAAAGCCCCTCCCCCCTCATCTCGTCTTCCTAGTGAGCTTTTTTCGGGAACTACATATAATGATCCTCCCCTTGGAAAGTGGTTGGCAAACCATTAGTTCTCAAGATTGATGCATGTGATACAAAGGTCATTCGATGAAGGCCATTCAGTAAACGATGCTCTGATCTCCCGACAGATTAGGTGCAAATGACATTAAAGGTGTGCTTCAAATGGTGCCACTGCATTGATCTCACGTTAATCATTTCTATCGGACAGTTAACAGATCAAACCGAAATGACGCCTAAATGGACCAGCGAACTCTCTATTCACCCTCAATCGCGAAAACTTCAGACTGTAATGCAACGGTCCACAGATGCTCAGAGGATGCCCTCTTTTTTCGAAAGAATCACCAGCTAATTCGTAGGTAGATCGATGCACTGGTGTTAAAAAGCTAAGCCGTATTAAGCACACAAATCTGAGTCAACCGATACCTACGTGAGCGCACACAGCCTGACAAACTCATTGAATTCTTTTGTTAAAAAAAGTATCAAGTCAGGATGAAAAGAGCGGGATACAACAAAGCCGGGGCTGAATTAGCTTCCAGGCCATGGTACATCATGGCAAGAGACACAAATGCATGCTAATGTGAAATTGTGTGTTTCAACTGCAAACAACTCCCGGAAACAGGGTCATCATCATCATTGTCAGCTGCAATAACCGCGTACTCGTCGTACAGCGGTTGTAGCTGCGCATTTCAGGCGAGAGATGATAAATTGGTGCATAAATCCAGCCCTGTCCGTGGGCTGTCAAGTGGGGGGATTGGAAGGGGAGCTATGCATTGAAGGGAATGGCTTGGCTGCACGAGCGCCATTGAGAGCCAGAAACAGGGACAAATAACTAGGTCGGTTGGGTAGTTGGAGAATTCTGTGGAAACCACTTCAAAAGACCTCCGTCCACAGCTGGACAGTCACAGGATTGACAGCAACACTAGAGAATCGTGAAAAGAACAGAACGAAACAGAGAGGGAACGGAGCGACAGCCCAGGTACTCTGAGCTGGATAGAAACTGACAGTGTGTCATCGTTCCGAAGCATGGCTTGCAACAACATCATCAACAACAACAACAGGGGGTATACGGGCCTGATTTCGTTCACAACATCCAAGCATTTCGTTGTAGCCCTCTGTACAGAGGCCAGCCGACCCTAATAACCGAACATCACATCATTTGGATGTGCCACGTGCAGGACACGGGCCAGACGAAGGCATGCCCTGATTGGTCAGAATGCCAGCCAATCCGAGTCAAGCACCTTTG